GCGGGCACAGGTGCTCTCTGTGTGGATCTGGTGGGCACAGGTGCTTCCTGTGTGAATCTGGCGGGCACAGGTGCTCTCTGTGTTGATCTGGCGGGCACAGGTGCTCCCTGTGTTGATCTGGCGGGCACAGGTGCTTCCTGTGTGGATCTGGCGGGCACAGGTGCTTCCTGTGTGGATCTGGCGGGCACAGGTGCTTCCTGTGTGGATCTGGCGGGCACAGGTGCTTCCCGTGTTGATCTGGCGGGCACAGGTGCTTCCCGTGTTGATCTGGCGGGCACAGGTGCTTCCCGTGTTGATCTGGCGGGCACAGGTGCTTCCCGGGTTGATCTGGCAGGCACAGGTGCTCTCTGTGTGGATCTGGCGGGCACAGGTGCTTCCCGTGTGGCTCTGGCAGGCACAGGTGCTCTCTGTGTGGATCTGGCGGGCACAGGTGCTCTCTGTGTGGATCTGGCGGGCACAGGTGCTCCCTGTGTGGATCTGGAAGAGAAGGGTGCTCCCTGCGTCATCTTCTGCCTCCACTGAGGTGTGGTCTTCCGTGTTGCATCTGAGAAGCCCGAGTGCTGGAAATGAGGCTTCTCAGATGCATTACTGAAGACCAGGGATGAGGGACATGATGTTTCTCCCGCCTCCATTGTTTCCCCCCACTGGCCTGAGATGTCCCCGTACTTATAATCCTCAGGTATGGGGTCCGAAACCTCCATTATCGCCCACCACCGTCCCGCAGCAAGGGCCGTAGTAAGCTCATCTGAGTACTCAGTAGATGATGACTGCTCTGCACTCTCAAAAATTGTGGGCATGGTTGACAAACTCATATCGATGTTAGATATGTAGAAAATGAACTGGAACTGAACAATACTATTTGCAATGTATATCTGTGAAACACTATGAAAGAAAGATAAAGGGAAGAGATGATTTGAGTAAACATACAGTACAAGAACCTGAAAGCTTGTTGTCTTAAGCCCAACGTAAACCCACATTGCGCATTTTGTCATCTGAAGTTCAACAGACATCCATGTGTAGGCCAATTTTTGTGTTCGCGCTAACGGTGTGTGCTCAACAACGCATACGGTAGGTGATTGTTAAGATAGAAGAATGTTGACACGACTCAGTACTGCTCTTTGACATCTGCTAAAGTATAAATAGGAAATTGTGCAGTGTCACACTGGTCCACCAACTAATAGCTGTGCGGACACGACTGTGCACAAGATGGAGCGGAACGCGGAAAATCAAGTAGGCCTTTAATTTTCTAAAAAATACAAATAAAAATGTATACAGTGTATGCCCAGTGGCGATCCATCAGAAGAGTCAAGTGAGGCTGAGAGCCTCCTTGAAATGTATTTAAAATGAACAATGAAGCTAAAAAAGTTAATTGTTATTTTTATCTATTTACCTACTAATGTGAATAACTCCGATGCACATAACGTAAATGTATATAGTCATGTTTTATTTTGCCGGTTGTCGAGGCAAATTTGATTGATTTAAACAAATCAGCTTAAGGCAAATAAGCTTTCAGAATCACTTCAGTGTGTCATCAGATCTGCTATCATTTTGTCATTTGAATATAAATGATCTACAATTATATAAATAAAAAGATTTGATCATTATTGATTCACATATCATGCTCTCATTTCCACACAAACCAGTGTAGCCATGCCTATTTATTTATCTAAATGTAGCAACAGCAAATCTATACAATAACATTCCACAGTTTAAGCAGATTCTTCTGCAAATTATATAAAGATTCAAATTCAGATCCCCAAACCCAGTGTAAAAAGCATAGGCTACTCACTCAATCGCCGACTCGCTACAAGAAGAAAAAATCCGCTGCACTCATTATAACGTCACCGAGCGTTCTGAGGAATGCGGCGATCATTATGACGTACTCGACCGCGAGTTTGTGAGGGATGGGAGACCTAGGCTGTTTCGTTGTATTAAAAGTGAACATGCAATACAAACAAAGACTGACTTAGCATTTTTAATTCATGATTGTTGATACAAAAACTAACGCTGTTTATTTGTTAGCATTTGCAGCTGGTGCATAAACAAGACCAAGTAAAGCTGCGGATGGGTAGCCATATTTTATTATGAAGCATAACAGACCACTGAAACAAAATGAATCAACAGATATTACAATAAAAGCCCATTTCTGAAACAGAATACAATTCACAAAAAAGTTCCTCTAGGCTATCCTGGTTTTTTTCCCCTTCTATTTCTAACAATAGCCTAAGTTAAGCAACATTATCAGATGAGGAAGAGTGCTGTCCCGAACATCAGTAGGACGTTGTTTAAAATAAACAAGTTGTTAATATTACATGACTTACATTTTGATCTATATCGCCAATGAAAATAGTTCCAAATAAATCTATAAATCGTTGCGCATCTTTGAGAAACGGTTTCCCTGACTGAACTTTCCATAAGTTTAGCGGCTTTAGATGCTCTCTGAAGCGCAGACAGAGAAGCGAAACATAAAGATGTATTTTATCCAAAAAAAAAACCCAAAAACAACAACAAAAAACTGCTTCTTTCAGGTTTTTAAATCATTATTTATGTTATAATGTATAGAGGGTTTCACGACGCGTCATCAAACCAGAAGTCGGCCATTTTGGAGGCACTGAACGTAAACAATGCCATTGAACTGAACGGACTCGCAAATTTGGCTGATTATTGCTGCTGAAAAATGGTCGAGTTTTGGTCTGTACTAATCGGTCGCATCGGGAAAAAACATTTCGAGTTCTATCTACTGCTAAAAGTTAAAGAGAAGAGTGTAAAAAACTGATGAAAGAAGGCGTTTGTGGTGAGGCACAGCATCAGCTCATCAACCACATGACATGTGTTAATGAAGCGTTGACTATGGCTAAAATGTTGACGTATTTAACTATGGCTACATTCACACTGTCAGTCCAAATCCGATTATCTTTGTATCCGATTGGAATCTGATCTAAAATGATGTCCACACTGTGTATCGCAACTGTTCAGATCCGATGTGTGTATCCATGCAGCTCTTGGGCAATATGGCACTGACATTGTGTTGATGGAGGGGTTTGCATTTGCAATCGAGATGTCGTCTTATTTAAATTTTACAACATGGGAATGTGTAGCCGCCGCGCTGGACTACTGCGTCTTGAGCTGCAGAACTGTATGAGGATATTATGCACTACAGCTTTTTTTCCGCGCTAGTTTCAAAATATGTTTCAGAAATAATAATGTTCTGCTCGTCCGGCACTTTGCAACAACACAGAATTGTTTCGACAGCGACTTTCAGCGTGTTTCCTCTAACAACGTCTGACGTTTACATTTAACGTGAGAGTCACATACCACGCGAAATCCGATCGTTCAGACTGAAGCCGATGCCCTGATATGTGATTTGAATAGGATTTCAAACCACATATGAATGTAGCTTGAAACGGATTTCATGTGCTTTTTTGGACTGACAATCTGAACGTAGCCTGTGTCGGGATAAGAAATAGAAGGAAGAACTGCAGTACGGGCTAGAGAAGCTAGCTCGTTCGGACCTTTACCACATATTAACTTTAGTTTGTCAAAATGTTTCGCTCTCTCCTGCTTACTAAGTCCTTCTCTATTTGATTTCGCACCTACTACGTGTTTTTACCATGGTTTATTAGTGTAACAATGTGTTCAGTAGTACGTAAACAGTGCAATCCATGCCGTTGTTTACATCCGAGTGCCTCCATAATGGCCGCGCATCCGGGTTACCGCCCAGAACATGACGTTGGTGACAACCCGCCGCATACTCAATGAGTAGGTACTTAATTTCAATGAGTACTTACTTAACGAATGTACTTAATTTAAAACAAACAACTTTAAAGTTACATTTACATTTATTCATTTAGCAGACGCTTTTATCCAAAGCGACTTACAAATGAGAACAATAGAAGCAGTTAAATTAACAGTAGGACAAAAATACGCAAGTGCTATAACCCCTCTCAGTTTAATTTTAGTGCAGGTTTTTTCTTTTTTTTTTAAATAGAAGAGAAGAGAAAGTGTTAGTACTACTGAATCAAGTGCTGCCGGAAAAGATACGTCTTCAGCAGTTTCTTGAAAGTGGCTACTGACTCAGAAGCTCTGGTTGAGTTTGGCAGATCATTCCACCAGCAGGGAACAGTCATGGTAAAGGTCTGGGAAAGAGATTTTGTGCCTCTTTGAGATGGTACCACTAGACGACATTCGCTAGCAGAGCGCAAGTTTCTGGATGGCACATAAGTCTGAAGTAATGAGTTTAGGTAAGAGGGAGCAGTGCCAGTGGTTGTTCTGTATAGGCAAACGTCAGTGCCTTGAATTTAATGCGAGCGGCAACTGGCAACCAGTGCAATTGTGTGAGGAGAGGAGTGACGTGTGCTCTCTTTGGCTCATTAAAGACTACTGTGGCTGCAGCATTCTGGATCAGTTGCAGAGGTTTGACAGAGCAAGCTGGAAGACCAGCCAGGAGAGCATTACAATAGTCCAGTCTGGATAAAACAAGTGCTTGGACAAGGAGTTGTGTGGCATGCTCTGTTAGGAAAGGCCTGATCCTCCTAATGTTGTGCGAGGCAAATCTGCAGGACCGGGCAGTTCTAGCAATGTGGTCTGTGAATTTCAACTGATCATCAATTACAACCCCAAGGTTCCTAGCTGACCTTGATGGAGTTATGGATGACGAGCCTAGCTGAATGGAGAAGTTGTGACGAAGTGTTGGGTTGGCCGGGACCACAAGCAGCTCTGTCTTCGCAAGGTTTAGTTGAAGGTGGTGGTCCTTCATCCAGCCAGAAATGTCTGTCAGGCAGGCTGAGATACGAGCAGCTACCGTCGGATCTCAAGGTTCCTGAGTAATTTTGAGACAATGCCATCCATTAGTGACGACAGTACAGTGTTTGCTTTACTCCATATACAAATTGTCTATTTTTTCTCTATTTTCTATTGCTTTTTGTTTTCAGTTCATAGTGTTTACCAAGTCTGATTTTCATCTCTCTACAGTTTGAGTGATTGTGAAATCACAGAGAAAGATTGTGCTGCTCTGACTTCAGCTCTGAGATCAAACCCCTCACAACTGAGAGAACTGAATCTAGATAATAGAAACCTACGAGATCCGGGTGTGAAGCTTCTCTCTGTTGTACTGGAGGATCCTGACTGTAAACTGGAGAAACTCTGGTAAGATCATCTACGGTATATCATTGTCAGACATGTTATTGTCTTCTGTAAGACTAAATCAGGGTTCCACAAATCTGGCACTGGAGGGCCGCTGCCCTACGGAGTTTAGCTCAAACCCTGATAAACTCCCCTTCCTGTAACTCTGAGGACATGGATCAGCTTGTTCAGGGTCTTTAATTAGTGTTGGATCTAAACTCTGCAGGACAGCGGCACTTCAAAACCAGATTTGAGGAACCCTGGACTAAATGCTTATGTAAATTTTAGGACTACACTGCAGAAAATAAATGTATTTTTCAGTATTTTTGTCATCTTTTCTTTTTTGTATTCTTAATTGAAGATACATTTACTTGAGAAGCAAAATGACTTAAAATATTAAGTCTTGTATACTGAAAAATTGCTTGTGTATCTTGATTTAAGATACATAATTTTTAGATATTAGATATTTAGACTACGTCTGGATCAGATTCAGGACGATGAGTAGATCAAGTCCAACAACACCCCCAGCGCTTCACAGTCCTATACCTCGTCCTGCGTCGACATTTCATTAAGAAACATTATCAGTTTTGATTTTACATATGCATCTGCTTACATACGTGACCCATTCTGACAAAATGAGTCGCAATGAGCAAATTTTCATGACTGAGCTACACCTGTTTGAATTTTATAGTCAAAGTCAATTTTGAAAATAATCAAGTGAAAGTTTTCTGAAGGTTCCAAAACAAAATCCTCTACCAACCATACCTTAAAATCTCTGGTAATAACACCAAATTTGGCACACATCAAGTCAAAACCAAATATCTATAGGATCAATATATATTAAACTTTTTTCCCCATGATCCCACAATTGTTTGATTAACATTAACGAAAAAGACAGCCTATACATTCGGACCTACTGTACTGCTGATCTAATATAATGTTACACATCAGATGTTTTTCTCCAACAGTTAACCAAATGTTCACTTAAGACATAGCAGATAATGTTTGCTTGAATACTCGCCAAGACAGATATTTTGAAATACTGTAATTCTGTGTAGGTATAAGTGTATATCGGGGTCACGTGCGGTCTGAGGCGTCTTTGAGGCACGTTTCGAATGTGTCAGTCAATGTGAGTAAAATAATTTTGTTTAAATCAGTATGAGTCTGAAAATCACATTTCATTGGTTCAGACTCATGCCATCGAGAATTCGCAATGAATATTCACAAAGTTGGATTGCTACGCTTTAAAACAATACCAAACTTGTGCTGAGTGAAAGAACAGTCGTCGAGAAGCGAGCAGAGAAACTGCATTTTTCATGGACAAATGAAAGGTACTCCTATCAGAAAACGTACAAATAAAGATACTTTATATATAATTTCACTCCTCCCCCACTGTTTAACTCTTTCCGGTAATAAAAAAAAGTGCACACTTCTAGTCATCACCATGACTGAATAAATAGTTCAATGTTATGTATCATTTTGAATCACAGAAGCAGGTTTTGTAAATCATGTGTCTGAGTAGAAAAGGGGCCTAGTGACGCCACTGAGAAGTGCACACACAAGAAAAAGTGAGGGTACACCAAAGCTTAAAATATAGAAGTGCTGGTGCGTACCGGCCCACTTCGAGCACTGCTGGAGGCACATCATCACTACACACGGCTTATACACTAGAGAACTGTTGAGAGTACAGGAAGATTACTGTGAAAACAACAAAAATCATTTAAAAAACATAAACTCAGTATAACAATGCACTGGAGAACCAGGGCCCGTTCTTCATACGTGGATTACTGTTATCTGGATTTTACTGTTGACGATTTTACATGATCCAGGATTGTTAGGTTCTTCAAAGCTCATCCTGGAGTTGCTGTAATAGAAATAGGTCCGTAAGCTCAACCCTGTTTGGGAGCATCTTATTTCATGTAAACAGGATTAGATTGCATCTTTTCAAGCGCAGGCGATACTTAAAGTCTGTTCCAGCCACTGCTACTTTCTTACAAGAGTAGCCTAATGAACCAGGTACAATAATGACTTAAAATAATAATAATCATAGTAATAATAATTTAAAAACCCATTGAAAATACTATTTCAATGTTGTGTAGTTTATCAAGAAACAGTTTACTCACTGAGAGATTTATTTGTGAGGGAATAATTACCTAATAACTGTATTGGAGTCTTACATGATGTAGGCCTACAGTTAGTCTGAGCCGGACATTACAGGAGATGCGGTTTACTTGTGCATGCAGTTAAATGCTCTGCCATTAGAAACATGTTTTTGCCCCGTAAGAAACTTTAATCAATGCTGTCATTTAACAAATCTGTTTTACAGGTACAATTAAATGTATTGCTAATTACAACATTTAAATGAAAATGTAAAGTTCAAATACTGGAAATAGTGAAATTATGGAAATAATTGGGAATCATGTAACAACCAGTATATTTAATTTATCTATTATAACTTTTTCTGTCATTTTGGTTGCTTGGCTGTTTCCTTATAAAGGTCCAGAAATGTTTCCGTCAGGTGTGTGATGTTCTTTTTTAATTTGATGCCATTGCGTTTCTCTCTTGCTGTCTGAAATCATTGAAAAAGTTTTTGTTTGTTTGAGCCTTCACAACATCAGTGGATCAATAATTAACAAACAACAAAAGAAGATTATCTTTCATCTGTGTTTCTCCTATTATTAAACTGCCAATATAAACTGGGATTTTTGGAGCACATGTGTTGAAAGCTTTTTGAATTTCTTTATTATTTGTTTATGACTGTTATAAATCTCCAATGTAAATTTAGACATTTAATAGTATGTGTAGAATTGTGGCTTGTACGTGTTGATCTGAACTGAGAGAGTGAAGAGTGTGTCATTGTTCTCTACAGGTTGAGGTATTGTGGAGTCACAGATGAAGGTTTTGCTGCTCTGACTTCAGCTCTGAGATCAAACCCCTCACACCTGAGACTACTGGATCTGTCTGTGAATAAACTAGGAGATTCAGTTCCTCTGCTCTCTGCTGTACTGGAGGATCCTCACTGTAAACTGGAGAATCTGGGGTAAGATTGTCTCTCTGATAGTCACACATGTCTTTGTCCTCATTTTACAAGCTAATTTTAGTCCTAAAATTCTTACTGTTCTATAAACACTAAATCTGAGCACAGAAATCACAGGTGTACTCAAATGTCTAATCTCATGATCTGGTATTAGTGTTCATTTTTACATTCTTTTTAAAATGTATCCTTTAGATTTAGTCAGTATTTCATTATATTCATTATGTTCAATAATTTTAGACTGTTTCACTCTGACTACAGTGACAATCCTGTTCCCCCACGTTTACTCACCAGTGTTTTCCCTAATGATGTTTCTGTGCAATAATAGTGGTTCCCAACCCTGATCCTATAGTTCCCCCAGCACTGCACAATCCTTAATCGTTGAAGTTTCTGCTTTTAACAGCTCTTTCCGTAGCTACAAAAATACAATTCTTCAAAGTAGCTTTTCAAACACTGCTAATGTACTAATATGAAAGATAATAAGCAAAAGAAATGTAATAACTTCATGCTGATCTTCATGGTCTTATATGCAGGGAAAACACCTGAACTTCTGCAGAGCAGTGATGAATAAAGTAACATGGTCAGTGTCGCGCTGGTGAGATTAGTTTGCGCTGTCCATTCAGTTTCGCTGGCAAACACGTCCTCTCTGCGATGTCGAGTCGGTCGCACAGCTCGGTCCATTGAGCCGCACCGATGACATCAGCACGGCACGAGCTCTGTAACACCGCTCCGTTTCGTCCCACTGAAGGTGTGTTTGGCTTCCCATACAACTCGCTACAACTAACCGCCATTGCTTAAAAGAGTTTGTGAGACGCGCCACATTAAATAGAAGTGCGGACACACAACTGAACCAATACATTTAAGAGAATGGGTTCGTGGACTCGCAAATTAATATTAAAGGTGCCCTAGAATGTTTTTTTATATTATTTTATAATGTTTCCTGGGTTGCCCTTATAATGTTAGTATGTTTTTTAGATCAAAAATAGTCATAATTTAGAAATAAAAGGCATTTTTCCTAGCCTGATTTTAGCCTCTGATTTGAACGCTCTGTTTGAAGGGGCGTGTCTGCTGTGGGATTCAGTGTAACCGCGGCCACTGCTGTGATTGGCTGTCATGCTTGCATATGAAATAGCTATGTATTACATGTGAAACTCTCTCGAATAATTTTACTACAGCTATTATACGTTTTTACTATTACAGCTATCGAGATTAACGAATCGTGAGATGTTTTTAAAGTATTTAGATCTATTCCCATCACATACAATGTTGCCGTGATGAGCATTGAGCAGATCACAGTCTGTTGATCGCGAGCATGAAGATCTTATCATTGCAATGCAGTTTCTGCACTCTCTCTAATGCTTTCACCAATGCAAACACGATTATGTAAATACAGTAAGAGCTTCGTTGTGCAGTGTAACGTGCGTCATTGAAGTCATAACGAGTTTGGCAAGTGTCCAGATAAACTCGCGCTGTGGAAAGATTGTTCTTTGATCGCTTTCTTTATATAATTTATTCACAATTTAAATACTTTTTTTTTTTCATCCTACTAAAAGAAACGATGTGAAGTTGATATTTTAGTCACTGGCTTGACTTTTGAGAGAAAGATTACCTGTCTGAACTTGAACAATTACACATCAGAAAGTGTTGCTTGGTAGCTCGATCCGAGGCCAGCTCTGTATTGGCCCAAGTTGAGGAAACAGTCGGTGAAATGTTTGGAAATTTCCAGAGAAAATAAAATTAACCCATTGTTTCTTCAGAGGCTCGGATGAAGGAAATAAAAAATACTTTTGTGTTCATGTGTACATCCAAACACTGAGCAACTGCCATGCTTCGGCTGCGCAGTTCCGCCTGGCATTGGACATGGGCTGGCATATGCAAATTCTTGGAGTCGTACAGATTAATGATCCCGACTGTTGCGTCACAGTCGGTGTTATGTGGAGATTCGCCTATTTTTCAGGGGTGTTTTTCAAAAACGAGATTTAAGTAAGAAGGAGAAAACAATGGTGTTTGAGACTCACGGTATGTCATGTCCATGTACTGAACTCTTGTTATTTAACTATGCCAAGATAAATTCAATTTCACATTCTAGGGCACCTTTAACAATATAAATTCCCTTGTCGTTCGAGGTGTAAAATAAAGCTTACATAATAAAATTATGCTGTTCATATGTAACTGTCTGTCATTTATTTATTTGCCAATCAACTATTTAAAAAAAAAATAAGTGCCAGTTATAAATTAAATTAAATTTAATACATTATTAGCTAAATGTGTAATTTGTATATGTACATTTCTGAAATACATAACTTGGACACAGTCACCTCTGATAACAGATCACTCTAAATTGTAATGTAGATGTGCATTTTCTGTAAAGCTGCTTTGAAACAGCATGTATTGTGAAAAGCGCTATACAAATAAATGTGAAATTAATTGAAAAGTTATGGAGGGTTTTGGGTAAGTGTATCCACAACGTTGGTGCCTACGTTCTGTTATTATGCATCATCATCATCATTGTTCCGCGTTCTCATTGGTTTGTTGGCATTTGGGGGATGCGAAAGGAAAGTTGACTGTGAATAGAGCTTCAGGGATGACATCAAAACCTGGAAGACTAATTCGCCACTGGTTGCCTCGAATTTATGAAAGCTTGTTTCTGCCACGGGATAAAACAATTTAAAAGATAATTGTGACTTTTTATCTCGCAATTCGGACTTTTTCTTGCAATTGTTATTTATGTCACTTAATTGTGAGTTTGGCCCTGTCACAAATGGCAACCTAAACACTCGCGGTCTTCCTCTGAGTCCGCACTTTCGTGACAAACGCCGCTTTGACTGTCGGGAAGAAGTCTGCTGCGGAGCTCGCTTCAGTGTGGGCTCAGCAAAAGTGTGCATGTAGGGCACATATCGACCGCTGAGCGGCGCTCGTGAGTCCCCTTCTGAAACCTAAAATTACTAAATGGACACCCTACAGTCTCATGGACTTAACGGGACGCGGAAGCCATTGTAAGTCTACAAGACTGAAAGTGCATATGAAGTGTGCCATTTGGGACAGGGCCTTTAAATCTCGGTGAGTGGATTCTGACAAAATGAAACGCCTCTGATTGGCCACTGCGTTCAATAGACCAACAAACATGACTGTGATTGGCTACATTTCTCACCGCTGTAAAAACACATTGTAAATAGAAACATTTGACGTTCTCCAGAGTTCAAACACAAAAACACACTTGAGAGTTTGCCAGTATGATATTATTACAGAATCAACTGAGGGTTCTCTTGCATTCATTTGAGAGTGCTTATATTTAAATTTGACATAAATTTGACATTGTGATGTTTTTACCCATGTTTTAATTTAACAAAAAATTATTTGTGATCAAGCATTAATTGACAGACGCCCTGCAGTACGGCTGCGGACCCTTGTGTTAAACTGATCTGAACTGAGAGAGTGAAGAGTGTGTCATTGTTCTCTACAGGTTGAGTTATTGTGGAGTCACAGATGAAGGTTTTGCTGCTCTGACTTCAGCTCTGAGATCAAACCCCTCACACCTGAGACTACTGGATCTGTCTGTGAATAAACTAGGAGATTCAGTTCCTCTGCTCTCTGCTGTACTGGAGGATCCTCACTGTAAACTGGAGAAACTGTGGTAAGATGATCTCTCTGATAAACACATATATATTTGTCCTTGCTAAATATATTCTTTATTAGTAATGTAACAGTTTAAACTTTTTTACTCATTGATCACCAACTTTGCTTGTTTCGGGTCTGAAGAAGGAGTGCAACCAAACAATTACACATCCACACAACACAAATGAGAGACAATTGAATACATTTTATTGAGAGCTCATTTTCTGTACAATTATAGTTTTACCAGGAAAACCAAAACCAGTAGTTTTATGTGTGATTCATAGACGCTCAGTTAAACAATAAATTACAAGTGAGTGATACTTACTTCAGTCCAAATGCACATTAAATAAATATTCAGTTAAATCAGTGAACATCACCGGTGAGCCAATGCTTGATTAAACATGCTAATCCTAAAACATATGTTATTCCCAGCATATATATATATATATATATATACTCCACATCACAAACAAGACAAAACATTACACAAATACACAAAGTATAAATGTTATATTAAAACAACAGTGTTTTTGAACTGACGGTTACAACACCCATAGACTTCCATAGGAATCCAGGAATGCGGAAGTGTTTTATTGCAGTAAATTCCATTACAATAAGGCAAAACAAAACTATAATACATGCCGTAAAGAACAAAGCACAAATCTATAAAAAAGGAAAAAGAAATAGAAAAAATAATATTATCAGGGACAAAAAGGCTTCAAGGCCGTCTAATAATTTAAATTTCTTTAATAAATTGATTAATCTTCCACTTTTCAATGTTGACATTCTTAAGGTTTTACAGTAAATTTAAATTCATTTATTTTTAAAACAGAAAACAATGCACTGAAAAAGTGTGTTGGATTTAAATGATTTAATCATGCACATCATTTCACATGAACCAATCAAGTTAAACAAAGATCATTTGTTCACATAATGTCAACATCATGGAATCAAGTCATTTCCAAGTAACATAATTAAGAAGTTTTAAAGTGATTTTAATATGGTTCCCTAACTGGATTAATTCATTCAATTTTACTGCATGGTATTTGTCCCTCAGTTTTACCTCGAGAACACGGAAAACCGACATCCTTTATAAAACAGTGTAGAATATAGTGGCATTCATTGCTTGTCACTACATTCAAATCACATCACACATTGCAATCTTTAATAAAAGGTAATTTTACACACCGTTTACACAGTGTCATTGTTCTCTACAGGTTGAGGTATTGTGGAGTCACAGATGAAGGTTTTGCTGCTCTGACTTCAGCTCTGAGATCAAACCCCTCACACCTGAGAGAACTGGATCTGACTGGGAATAAACTAGGAGATTCAGACATGAAGCTTCTCTCTGATCTAAAGAATGATCCACATTATAAACTGGAGACACTATATTGTAAGTGGATTATTTACTACAGATTACAAAACACGGTAATTTGTAACATTTTTCGTTAGATTACACAAGCTTTGTAACCTAATCTAAATAATTTAGAATACTTTGGAATACTAATAAGGTTTGTAACACACAGGGTCCACCAAACATAGGACTTGGTTTCCCCTGCATATTATTTTTAACAACATCAGTTTTACAGAGTATTTCTTGAAGAAATATATATTTTTAGAAAAAAATTACTTTTTTTTTTTTTTTTTTACTGATGCAACACAATGCATTAAAAGCTGGGGTGTGCACACTTTTTAAATTGCATGAACAATATAAATTGTAATTATTTTGTCTTCTGCGAAACAGGGAATTATTCGCTTCTGAAGGGCAGTACTAAATGAAAAAAAGATGATCTTTAAACAATATGTACACACCATCATAATCCTGTTTAAAGTTTACACCACCTGCTCTTAATGCATTGTTTCCTTCTTGAGCATCAGTAAATGTTTTCACCTTTTGTAATAGTTGTGTATGAGTCACTCAATTGTCCTTGATGTAAAAAGATGAATCTCAAAATCATACAGTCATTGTTGGAAAGGTGTCAAATATGCAGAAGATGCTGGAAAACCTAAAAATGTGCAATACCTGGAGGATTTTTCTGAAGAACAGCGGGCAGTTTCACTGCTCAGTTATTTTCCTGGATCCTGTAATAAACAATATTTGTTCTCATTATTCTGAGAACAGACACAGTCTCTATGGAATGGACTACATGTGCTATTATCATTTAATCAGTACATAGATGATGTCCGACAGCAGGTCTGCTCTGACTCTGGGCTGCAGGCCATTCTCACAGAAGAATCTTACAATTACAAGATTACAATTAATTGAGAGAGTAGTTTCTGTTCATCACATCATTCATATAATGCGAATAATCTACTGAACCTTTGGTTTCCACGAGGGTAAGTGGGAAGTGTTCCTGACACGATGATCTTTTCACAATGGTCTTGACCAGAATCTCCGACTGTCGCAGCTTGTCGTTCCCCGCGTGCGGCACAACAGCTCTGATGTTCTCCTCACCTTTACATCTCTGGCTGTAATATTAATGTACTCTGTATGTATCTCTGCTTGTGTTTGTTCTGAAATGAATCTACTGGTGTGATGTGACCGCAGTAATGTCTCGTACTCCATATGTGACTGTCTGTGTGTTTAATTGTATTTTCCTCAGGGTGAGCTGATGGTGAATAAGGAGCCGCTACAGAGACGTCACAGTCAACAGAGACTGAAGACACAGAGACGTCACAGCGATCTCACTTTCGTGTGTGTGTGTGTGTGTGACTTCACAGCAGTTTCTTGTTTGGATCTTTTTGTGGGTCTGAATTTTTTTTTTTTAATCACAGATTACATCAGATTTCCACAATGATCTAATAGAGGATTTGAACTCACTAATAAATAATGTAAGATTCTTCTATTTGTGATGAACCATGAAAACTGCTGAAGACGCATCTTTTTGTAGACTAAACTGGGAATGGTTGTTCCATATTGTTGCCATATTGTTTTTTATTGCTTCTATTGCTCTCCTCATTTGTATGTCACTTTGGATAAAAGTGTCTGGTAAATGATCACATGTAAATTTAAAATGTGCTGAAAATTGCTTTGTTATTGATTAGATATTGCACTGCTTGATTACAATGTTGATGGTGTAACTTCCAATATTCAATGACAATTAGATTCTTTTAATCAACAAGATATAGATGGTGTATATTAGTAATTTATTATTTAGGAACAGGTGACAAGAATTTACAAGAATGTGATTACAGAAGAGTAATAGAAGTATTTTAAATGAATATGTCACCGGCAAATAGTGACGAAGAGGATTTCATCAAACATTATTTTCTGGGGCTGATTTTTTTTTTTATATAATGACCTATTAAATTTTATCCTTAAATCTCAGTTTTCCCTCATGTCTCAGTTTATCAGTAATTGCTACCACAATTCAAAATGTGACTTGTAATTCATTTAATCTGTTATTTTTCAGATTTACCTGATAATATTTTAATGAGCAAAATGGCCTAGTCTGCCCAGAGGGAGTTGAGGGAGTATCTCAGGACTTTTGACCCTTATAGCAAAAAGTAAACTGAAAGGGTTTGTCACTTAATGACTTAAATTACATTCAAAGTCTGATATTTAGATTGTATATGTGGAAACTTTTAATGCAGTCAATCAAGTCATACAACAAGGTTGTAATTTTTAGCACAGGCCTATAAGAAGTGTTAATGTTCAGACTCAACATATGATTTTTAAACAATATCGATCTTAGGCTATAGATGCCATATTTCCACAATTGAAAATATGGCTGAGAGACACACCAAAGGTCTTGCGGTCATGAGGCTATCTCGCTGGCTTATGAGTCTAAGGGCCTCCGTTGTCCCATAGGCATCAGAGCTCATTCCACGAGAGGCATGGCCTCGTCATGGGCATGGTCGAGTGGAATACCAATTGAAGATATTTGTGCGGTGGCCGGCTGGGCCTCACCGTCCACATTTTTGTGGTTTTATCATTTAGAAATTCCCGCTTTACAAGCAAGGGTTCTTTCCGTATAAATACAGTGTCTAATTGTTCCTCTGTTCAGGGCAGAACCCTCTAAATAGACTCTGAGAGCTCTCACAGGGCAGAGTAGATTCGCGTCTCTTTTGTCTTCTGACGAGGGAAGAGCTGACAGCGAAATGACCTGCGCTCTAAATGGAGTGGAGAGCACTTTAGGAACATACCCGTGCCTTGGCTTAAAGGTACACTATGTAGAAATTATGTTTTTGGAATACTTGCACTGTCGTAAATAGCTAGCTAGACATATGTGGAAATTATTGGACTGGTCTAATTATCAAAAATGGATGAATGAACAGCATCGTAAAAAAATTACATACTACAAGCAAGCGCAACAACATACAACATAGAACGCAAACAAGTTTAGAAATAAGAGATTTACTTAGTCCATCAACAAGATCGCCAGGTGAGCATCGCTGTTGCATCCAGTGCTGCTTTTTAGTTCGCGCCAACTATTGAAAGCCCGACCCTACGGCCCGACCGAGTGGGACTCTTTTCCGGTTCCTCTCGCGGTCAGATTATCTTTTCCTTTTCCAAGTCTCTTCCGACCGCATTTTCTTTGCTTTTTCCATCGTCGAGTATCATGTCTGAAATGCGCGCAAGTGTCTTCGTACTTCATATGTTGTTGCTGATGTGTGTGACATCGTTGCCGTAAAGCATGTCGTGATTCTCGCGAGATTTGTCTGGGGCGCTCCTCTCAAACTTGCATTGCTGGTTTTTACAGCGGCGTCCCCCCCCAAGCTTTACTACCAGGATGATTCACCCTACTATGAGTTTGTTTACCACCGAAATGACTTTGAAGCTGTTATATTAAGGTACAATTCTTGCATAGTGTGCCTTTAAGGACGACTCTGGAGTCGCTGGGCCCGAATTCAAGACAGGTAGCGCTCACTGAGATGTTTGCAAATCACCCACTCGCTTGACTGATGCCAGTGCTAACAAGAGAGCAGTTTTGAGCGAAAGAGGCTTCAGGTCAGCAGACTGAAGCAGCTCGAAAGGGGCCCCTTTCATGGCCTCCAGGACCGTGGAGAGGTCCCAGATGGGTACAGGGGGGGGGGGGGGGGGGTCGAGGCAGGTTTAGCCTTCTGGCCCCTTTGAGGAAGCACAAGACTAGGTCTTTCTTCCCAGTGATTGCCCGGCCACATGAGCGTGAAGTGCTGCTATAGCCATCACATATACTTTAAGCGTGGAGGGGATGCTACCCGCGTCCAAAAGCTCTTGTAGAAAGGAAAGTACCCTTGTCACTCTGCATGAGTAGGGGTCTAGGCTCTGTGCTGTGCGACAGCCAGAGAACACTGACCATTTTAGAGCATATAGATGCGTGTTTGAAGGCGCTCTTTGCTTCAGAAATGGTATTTAGCACCCTTTCCAGAAGGTTCCCGGATACCTGTTGAGGGGCCATACATGGAGGGCCCACAAGTCGGAACGGGGATGCCAGATCGTCCCGTTCGGCTGCGTGAGGTCGTCTCTCCTCAGCGGTATTGGCCATGGGGCTATTTCCAGCAACTGAGTCAACTCGGAGAACCCTAGCTGGTTCTTCCAGAGAGGGGCTATCAAGAGCACTGCACACTTCCTCTACCTGATCCGTTCGATGACCTGAGGTAGCATCGTGACTGGAGGGAATGCATACAGCGGGTGGCTTGGCCAGTCCTGGGCCAGCGCATCCCTGCCCTTGGAGAAAAATGTTTGGCAACGAGCGTTGTCTTCTGAGGCGAAGAGGTCGACCTCTGACTCGCCGAAGATGCTCCATATCAGCTGAACCGTTTGCGGGTGAAGAGACCATTCCCCCGGGGGGACATTGTCTCTGGATAGCATATCCGCACCCTGGTTCAGAATGCCTGGCACGTGCGCCGCTCTCAGCGAGCACAGGTTGAGCTGAGCCCATATCAAGAGGTGTTTGGCCATGGTGTGCAGGAGTCCACCTTGGCGATATATATAGGAAACCATTAACATGTTGTCCGTCCGGACCAAGACGTGGTGACCTTTTATGTATGGGAGGAAAGCTTTAAGTGATAGAGCGACCGCTCTCATCTCTAGACAGTTTATGTGTAGGCGCCTCTCCGGGCTCGACCAAAGGCCGGAGATGGGCCTCCCCTCGTATAGGGCCCCCCAACCTATGTTGGAAGTGTCTGTTAAGATCACTTTCCTCTTCGAAATCATGCCCATACTCACGCCGGACTGATACCAGCCGGCTGCTTTCCAAGGAACCAGGGCTCTGACACAGCCTTGGTTCACTTTGATGCGTAAGTGGCCAGATCGTCACGCGTAAGCCAGTACACAGGGTTTTAACCAGCGCTGGAGGGGACGCATATACAGTAGACCCAGTTGGAGTACTGATGATGCTGAGGCCATGACGCCTAACATCCTCTGAAATCTCTTGAGAGGCGTGCAAGATGCTGGATGGTGAGCACGCGCTCTGACGTAAGCTGCGCTCTCATCTGTATAGAATTTATGACTGTCCCCAGAAAAGATATACTCTGGCTGGGAGACTGTATAAAAGACTGTACGCTTTTAAAAGCATTGACCCTTAGACCTAGGCATTCTAGATGGATGAGGAGCC